CTCTTATGTGTCCGTGCTTCATGCAAACAAGCATCAATGCAGGAGTTTCAGTTACATCAGAGTCAAACCAGAGAATTAATAATTTAATGAATATTTAATTATTGACAGAAAAAGTGTTGTGAATCGGATACCTTTAAACAAAGTATAAACAGTTTCTTAATAATCAAGAAACTCACAAGTGTTAGGGTTAACAAAGAAAACAAGGTAAAACAACAAGGAACAACAAGGATTAGTTATTAAACTGCTATTTTTTCCTTTCTCTTAGAACAAGATTACAAGTATACAATAACAAAATAACCTCTCTCCCTTGAAATTAGGATTTTATCTTCCTATTTTTCCTTATACCAAGATTGAGAAACTAGCATCCTATTTAAAAGAAAAATAGCACACTAACCTAATGGACTTTTTAACAATTACCCATTACAAGCCAACTTAGGGTACAAGCTAACTTAAACAATTGGGCTTACAACCAAGACCCAATTCAACATGGTAACAACCCTAGCAATATTTACTAATGCATGTTAGAACAAACTTCGACTACAACACGCATTACTCGCGAACAAACTTTGACTATACTAGAGTTCGATCAAACATCTCACAAATCTCCACCTTGGATCTAACTCTATAACATCAAGAAACTAGCTTTCTTCATGCAGCTTTATTAACTGCATACAGTGGAAAAACTTGCAACTGGGCAACGTCTTAGTGATCATATCAGCAGCATTATGATTTGTCAAAACCTTCAGCACTTGGACTTCTCCACGCTCGATTACCCCTCTGATGAAATGCAGTCTCACATCAATGTGCTTGGTTCACTCATGATAGGCTGAATTCTTCGACAGGTGTATTGCACTTTGACTATCACATTTAACAGTGATAACTCGACCTTGAAGTTTTAGCTCCTTTGCAAAACCTTCAAGCCACAATGCTTCTTTCACAACTTCAGTTAGGGCAATATACTCCGCTTCAGTGGTTGATAAGGCAACGACCTTCTGAAGTGTTGCTTTCTAACTGATTGATGTCCCAAACATAGTGAACACATATTCGGACATAGATTTTCTGGAATCCATACAACCTGCATAATCAGAGTCGACATATCCTTCTATTGCTGCTTTACTATCTTCACCCAAGGCTCCACCATAAATTAGGACTCTATTCAGAGACCCATTTATGTACCTTAAAATCCACTTACAGCTGACTAACTTAGCTCTAGTAGGTTTCTTGGTCAGTTCCCAAGTGTTGTTATCATGAAGAGATTTCATCTCATCATCCATGGCCTTCAGCCATTCAGTCTTCTTTCGACTCCTCATAACTTCCTTATAGTCTCTAGGTTCTTCATCTAGAACCTCACTAGCAGAGATTAAGGCATAAGCTATAAGATCTGCATACCCAAGTTTTTGAGGTGGCTTGATGACTCTCCTCGACCTGTCTCTTGCTAGCAGGTAGTCATTATCAATCTCCTCATCTTCGACAGCATCTTCTGCGTCTTCTTCGACTTCATCTGGGGTAAGCAATTCAGCATCAACATGTTCCACCTCAACAAGAATCTCTCCCTGTTCCAGCTTTTCGCCAGCATCATCAGTTTTCTTGAAAGCCATCTCTGCTTCATTGAAAACTACATCTCGACTGGTGATACACCTTCTGTGACCTGGCTCTAGGCACCATAGCCTATAAGCTTTGACTCCTTCAGGGTATCCCATGAACATGCACTTCAGAGCTCTAGGTTCGACCTTGTCTTGCCTAATATGAGCATAGGCCACACAGCCAAATACTCTCAGTTTGTCGAGACTAGGTGGATGTTCCGACCAAACTTCTTCAGGTGTCTTCATTCCCAAGGCAGTCGAGGGACATCTATTTATCAGGTAAGCTGTTGTCGAAACAGCTTCCGCCCAAAACACCTTCTTCAATCCAGCACTAACCAACATGCATATAACCCTTTCAAAGATTGTTCGATTGAATCTCTCAGTTAAGCCATTTTGTTGAGGAGTACCTTCTACACTCTTATGCCTTGCAATCCCAGACCCAACACAGTAACTGTCGAAAGCTTCGTTGCAGAATTTAAGGCCATTGTCGGTTCTCAATCTCTTAACCTTTCTGCCAGTCTGAGTTTCGACTAGAATCTTCCAACTTTTGAAATTCTCAAAAGTTTCATCCTTCGTCTTCTGAATGAATACCCATAGCTTTCTGGAATAGTCATCAACGATGGATAGAAAATACCTTGCACCTGAGTGTGAAGGATTCCTTGCAGGCCCCCAAAGATCAGCATGAATGTAATCCAGGGATCCATGTGTTCTTTTCTTGCCTTTATTAAACTCCGCCCTACATGATTTACCAAATACACAAGATTCACAAAATTCCAACTTTTCGACTTTGTCACCTCCTAGCAGGTTCTGCTTCCCCAATTCGACCAGGCCTCTTTCGCTGATATGGCCCAATCTCATGTGTCATAATTCTGTCTTCGACATAGATTTCGTGGATGCAACATTTGTCAAACCACTTACAACCTCAGCCTCAAGGGTATACAAGCTTTGTTTCTTCATGCCTCTCAAGACTTCCTTCGACCCCTTCATGACTCTTAGGATACTTTTCTCTCCTTGAAAAACATATCCTTTTCTGTCGAATTCACCAAGAGAAATCAAATTTCTCTTCAAGTCAGGTACGTACCTGACTTCAGTCAATAACCTTATTGACTCATCATGGAGCTTGAATCTCACAGATCCAATACCTGCAATTTTGCAAGATTTGTTGTTTCCCAGCAGCACAGATCCACCATCTTGATCACATAGCTCCTCAAACAATTCTCTGTTTGGAGTCATGTGCCAAGTGCAACCTGAATCCATAATCCACTCTTTCCTCGAGTCGCCACTTGAAACCACAAGAACATCAGATGAGTCGAAGTCATCTTGAACAATGGCTGCATTGTCATTACCTCCATGATCTTTCAGGCGTTCAGGGCACACCTTTCTTATGTGACCCTCCTTCTTACAGTGATAACATCGAATACTAGATGTTTCGCCACTATAAGACTTCTGTTGACTTTTACCTTTCTTCTTGTCGAATTTACCATCCTTTCGCAAGAATTTTCCCTTAACGGCCAAACCTTCACCCACCGTCGAAGGTTTATGCTCCTTTCGTTCGTTCAAGTCCTTAGAATACAAGGCTTATTGAACTTCTTCAAAGGTCAGGGACTCCCTTCCATACAAGAGAGTTTCTTTGAAGTGAGCATGTGTTCTGGGCAAAGCACACAGCAGCAACAGTGCTTGATCTTCATCATCGATCTTCACATCAATATTTTCAAGATCAAGAACCAGCTTGTTGAACATATCCAACTGCTCAGCCAACACTTTGTCTTCACTCATCTTGAATGAATATAAAGCTTGCTTCAGGTATAGTCGATTCACTAGAGATTTGGTCATGTACAAACTTTCAAGTTTCACCCATAATCCCGATGTTGTAGTCTCCTTTGATACCTGTCGAAGAACCTTATCATCAAGGCTCAACAATATTGCGCTGTGGGTTTTCTCGATCACGCCCGTCTTTTCTTTTGCCGTTAACGCAACGTCCATGGCTGCCTCACCCTTCAACGCTTCCAAACAACCCTGCTGAACCAATAGGGCTTTCATCTTCAAGCGCCATAGACCGAAGTCGTTCACTCCGGTGAACTTTTCAATCTCATACTTTGTTGAAGGCATCTTCTCCACGTTCACCGCACCAATTTGTTGTGAATCGGATACCTTTAAACAAAGTATAAACGGTTTCTTAATAATCAAGAAACTCACAAGGGTTAGGGTTAACAAAGAAAACAAGGTAAAACAACAAGGAACAACAAGGATTAGTTATTAAACTGCTATTCTTTCATTTCTCTTAGAACAAGATTACAAGTATACAAGAATAACAAAATAACCTCTCCCTTAAAATTAGGATTTTATCTTCCTATTTTTCCTTATACTAAGATTGAGAAACTAGCATCCTATTTAAAAGAAAAATAGCACACTAACCTAATGGACTTTTTAACAATTACCTATTACAAGGCAACTTAGGGTACAAGCTAACTTAAACAATTGGGCTTACAACCAAGGTCCAATTCAACATGCTAACAACCCTAGCAATATTTACTAATGCATGTTAGAACAAACTTCGACTACAATACGCATTACTCGCGAACAGACTTTGACTATATTAGAGTTCAATCCAACATCTCACAAAAAGCTTGTAGAATTGAGCTAAATAATTCTCAGTTCTACTACACATATTCCTCATATACTGAATAAAACCTTCCCCCGGGGGGGGGGGGGGTTTATCTTAATCAACTAGAAATCAGGAAAAATGAAACTCATGCGAATGTACTTCCCATTATTGGTGGCCAGTACCCTACAAATTATAATTGTTGTCTTACTTGGCCGTCCGATCAAGGGAAAACATACACCTTGTTACTTCACCAAAGCAACAAGAGAGTGTTAGTCCAAAATGGATCTTCAACACCTCTCCACTCTCTACCCCAAAAATATGAGCGAGATTATCTCTAAGGTATGGTGCAAAGAGAGAGAAGATCAAGAGACAGAGACATGTTTTTGGTGTGAAGAGTGAAGAGAATGAATTGGTGTAGAGGACCTGGATCAGCATTATTCTGTTTATTTAAACACAACTGTTTACATCAAAGAATGGTGGAGCAATTCAACTTCTTAGAAAAATCATAAAACAGGCAGGAAAGTAATCTATCCTGCAAATTTTAAATTGTAACGATGCTCTCTCCACATCTTCCATTATCGTCTTGTTTACACGTTGTAGGTAACCTCTATAACCCTATTGGATAAAAGAAGTGCAGCTAAACCTAGGTTCTTTTCACTATCTGACCTTGTACATCCTTTAATCCCCATTGTAGGGTTGGAGGAACTCTAATGCATCCTTCACAGTGTATGAGTAAAACTTATCAAGCAAAATTGTCTAGCTGAGGCTTGCCGTGCTATTTCCATATATTCAATGCTGTGAATTATGTTGGTTTACTTCTCAGTAACAGAAAATCCCTTTGGAAGTCGATCCACCAATGCGGAAGGAAGAGCGCCACTTTGTGAAATTAAATATACAAGGAATGCAATGTATAAAACTGTGCAAGAGCAGGCTACAAAACCAAACAATGCGCCGTTCACCTCAGAAACGAAGAAATCTACCAAGAGATAACCATTAATTACTATTATCAGTGCAGCAACCGTCCATGCCACCCTCTACAAAAATAAATAAAATAAAACATTATTGTAAATACAAATAATATTTTTAACTCTAATAAAAAAAGTCAGTTTACTGAATGAATTTGGTATTTGCACATCATCTTTCTCTAAAATTGATACTTCCTCTATTTCAAAATAAGAGTCTTTCTAACCAAAAAATTTTGTCCCAAAATAAGAGTCTTTTTAAGTTTTCAATGCAACAATAATTAACTTTCACCAATTTTACCCCTCAAATATTTTCTACACAACTTTTAAGATATTACATCACACTATACATTTATGACAATCAATAGTAATTAAGGACGATTTTGTAAAATTGTTACATTTAGTTAATCAATTATTATTTTTCTTAATCTATGTGCAACAACTTTGAAAAACTTTTATTTTGAGACGAGGGAGTATAAGTTATAACAGTAAATATTCATGATGTGAGGAAGAAAAGAAACTGTCAGAAAATTAACACTTTCAATGGTTTACAAATACATTGGAATCTATACTTTTTAACAGTATCTTTGAAAAAGTGATCAATACTCCATTCAAAACTTCAATGTCTATTTCATATATCAATGTTAGCAGATATGGTTCATCTACCTCTGACATGTCGAATCAAACTCTATGAAAGTGATGTCCTAGTAAAACGTACTAGTATGCAGAAAATATGTCACTCAGTATAAAAATGGTTGAGCAAAATAGGCATCTTAAAAATTTGGATATTTGATTATCAGATTAAAAATCACTCTGCTGATTAACTACCTGCACAGACACAATTAAACATAGGATAACTTTATTTTTGTTTCCTAATCAAGTCATCATGTTGTCAAAAGTCAAATAATCTAATAAGATCAAAGGCAAACTTAGAACCATGAAAGAAGTTGCTTCGAGATCTAAAAATTAACAATTACTGAAAAGAAGGAACAGTGTGATCAACTCACCTCAAGAACAGGCCCAATCTTAAAGGACCCCATGATACGTTCTTTGGAGACCAATGTGAGGAGGGGAATCAATGCAAAGGGAATTTGTACGGACTGAAGCACATTAAGCCATTCATTCAAAACATCCAATGAGGCTTCTGAGCTGTTATAAACAATAGCTACAATTATAGTTGGCACGATTGCACAACTCCGGGTGATCAATGCTCTCAACCATTTCTTTAATCGAAGGTTGAGGAAACCCCCCATTATGAATTGCCCGGCATACGTGCCCGTGATAGTGCTACTTTGTCCGGCCGCCAATAACCCAATTCCCCATATATAAAGAATAGGGAAGAGTCCTCCTCCATATTTTTCCTCAAGATACTGCCCTGCATTCACCAATCCTATGCTATTTGCCTTCTTTGTTCCATAGAAACCCTTGGCAAAAACTGTCGTGACAAATAGATTAATCATGAAGGTTACTGAAAGTGCAACCGTTGACTCAATATTATAGTAATTAAGAGCCTCTTGCACCCGGCCTTTCTTAAGTGGATCAATCTTCCTTGACTGAACTAAAGCAGAATGCAGAAATACATTGTGAGGCATAATTACACATCCCACAACGCCCACAGCCTGACGGATTGTTTTTGAGCTAAGTCTTGGAATCAAAATACCTACCAGAAGGAATAAACAACTGTTATGCCAGTGGATTATTGGGAGAGATGATTTTCAAATAAAGGTGATAATCACACAATAAGATAAAATTTACCCATCAAGAGCTCTTTTCCACTAGGTTTTGTGTCACCAAACATCCAGGCAAAAGAAATAGCCATGGTAGCAATTAGAACTGCAAAAGCAGCTTCCAACTTCCTTACTCCGTAGTTCTCAAGAAATAGAAAGAAAAAGCTGTTTGACAATAGAGAGGATAAAGCACAGTTAATGTTTAACATGAGAGTAGGAGGCTTTTTTTAGCTAATAATTGAAGACAATAACGAAAGAGTCAGAAAACTGCAAAAGCAGCTTCCAACTCCCTCACTCTGTAGTTCTCAAGAAATAGAAAAAATCAGATGTTTGACAAAAGAGAGAATAAATCAGTTACATGTTAACACATGAAAGTGAGAAGAATCCTAGCTAGCTAGTAATTGAAGATAATAACAAAAGAGACAGAAAATTGAAATCAAGAAATGAAGCCAGTAGATGTTTAAACGATGAAGGTTGAATTATACACGTTTCTACTACTAACTTGCATACAGGATTTTAACCCAAACCATTCAATTTAAGAACTTTTGTTGTTGACATCATAAAGGAAACAAGTATCGTGGTTGTCATGGTTAAATTGTACTCAAAAACAAAACATAACATCAAAGCACATGCAACCATCAAAGTACAGAGACCCTGCTAGAGCATTGAAAACAACATGACAGGAAAGTTAGTGTTTTGCATATGAATTTAAAAGTAAATTCAGTTATATGATGTAATTACTAGCACTACTTGATTGAAATGTGTTATTTAGACTCTAGAATCAAGATGCAGCAAAAATATTTGAAGTAATTAAAGAAAATTAGCCCTAATTCTATCATCCATGTAAAACTTTCTATAATTGTGTGACTATAAAACTGAAATCAAACCAACTACATTCAGTTAACAGCCAGATACCACCGTGAAACTTAATTGAACAAAATTCAATTCCAGTTCTCAAACCCTGACCAATACCAGTCCAAAGTTTCCTTGCAACTCAAGAAAAAATCCTTAGCATGCATAGGCCCTAGGAGTTCTAATTATAAACCAGGTAGGGAAGATCCACAATATCGTTTCAAATTGAAAGAATGGTCCTAGCTCCTCCACTAGATCTTCTACTAGACTATTAATTTCACTACAAACTAATACTAACGCAACCCCAATCCCATATCTGACTAGAAAAAAAATGCTTTGTTTGGATAAACAAATTACCTTCCGATAAATAAGTGTTTATGCATAAGCTATTTCTCTAACACAAAAACAACAACCAAGCTTTATCCCACTAAGTGGAATCAGCTACATGGATAAACTTCCGCCATAATGTTCTATCCAAGACCATGCTTTTATCGAAATCATTAATCTCAAAATCTTTTTCAACAATTTTTCGTATGGTTTTTCTAGGTCATCCTCAACCTCTAGCTATCTAACCCCTCTCCATCTAATCTACTCTCTTTACCACATAATCTACATATCTTCTCTCTACATGACCAAATCACCTAACTCTATTTTCCTCCATCTTTTCTACTACAGGTGCTACCCCAACACTCTAATATTGTCATTACTAATCTTCTCATGCATAGTCTTACGACGACGCATGCAACACAATAAAGTCAAACTGTTTTCATGAGTTATCCTAAATAGCTTACGAGCTTATAAACATCTCATAGTTGTGTCATAAAATTCTCAAAGAATCGTGCAAGTACTTATGTCACTTAGAAAACTTCAGTAATCCTATCCAAACAGCCCTAGCTGCATAAGTATGAACTAACAGATCAAATTAACAATTTAACAAAATGAAATAGGAGAAAAAGTATAATACCAATCAGAAGCAGTGATAAGAACACCAGCCCAAAGAGGCAAAACACCACGGCTAAGAATCTGAATAGCAATCGCACTACCAATAACTTCTTGAATATCAGCACCAATCAAAGCCAATTCCGCCATAAACCAAAGCACATAGCGAGCCCAATTAGGGTACTCATCCCTACAAAGCTCAGCAAGATGACGACCAGTGGCAACACCGACTCTCGCAGAAAGAAGCTGAATCAACAACCCCATGAAAGTCGCCCACATCAACAACCACAACAGCGAATATCCGGCAATCGCTCCGGCCTGCAGATCCCCTTCCAGATTCCCCGGATCCAAAAAAGCTATACTCATCAAGAATCCAGGACCAGTGAACATCCATAGCTTCTTCCATGAGAAAGGAGGAACGGCGGAATCATCCACGGTGTCGAATTCGAAATCCACCACCACGATTTTCTCGCCGGATTCATACGCCGCCTCATCCTCCTCCGTCTCCGATTCACCTTCTAGTTCCAGTAACCGGTTACCTTCTCCTTCTTTATGTTCTCTCTCGTCAACCTTTGAATCCTCTTCTCGCGACGGACCACTCATGATGATACCGTCTAAGCCAGTTTCCGGTGAAGCTTCGTTCGTTGCTACGTGTGATTCGCGCGCCTATTTATAAGGATCTGTTATGCTGTGTTATGTTCTGTTAGTCTTCTTCTTCTTCATCTTTTATTTTTACTTTTATTTTTCTCAGTTTCTTTTACCTCTGAAAAGTTAAATATTATTGTTTTATAAAATAGGTTTTTATGTTTTTTTACTGTTATGTTACTGTTTTATGATATTGCTGGGGGCAAAAGCAGAGAGGGTGATTGAGCAGAATGGAAAGTGATACGTGACGATTAAGGTTGTTATTAATTATACTCTTACGAATGTTTTAACTTTTAAGATTGTGTTTTTGCTTTTCATGGGTTGGGTGGTTTTGCTAGTGATATTTTAGTGAATGAAAATGAGCACTTTGGTTGTTGAAATGGTAAGTTTTGTGGAAATTGGGATATGTTTAAATTAAAGTTTACCAAATTATAATGCTACAAAGAAAAGTTTGTAAAATTAAATTTTGTTAAACTTGTTTTGTAAGACTAAGTTTGGTTAAAATGAATTAGAGTTAAGCAAAGGAATAATAACATGACAAATTTATGTGAAATTTCTATTATGAGGTGGGTACATATTTGATATCTCATAATAATAATAATAATAATTATTATTATTATTATTGAGATACATTACCGTAAAAGAATAAAAAATTTAATGTAACAACTTTTGGGTATTGAAAAAAAAAATTCTTTGAAAAAAAATTAGATTTAATGTAACAACTTTTAGCTATTGAAAAAAAAAAAAGATTAGTTGGGCTAAGGGAATCACTTGAACTAGATAAATTTTAAAATTTAGATAATGTTTATAACGTTTATATATCACTCAGATATTCACATCAACGAAAATTAAATCTACGATCTATTTTAATATTATCAAAATCTTGTAAATAAATGATTTATCACTAGTATAATTAATTAATTATTAAGATTCTTAATTTAATTTAATATTTTATTTTAGTTTTTTGATTAAAAAATATTACAAATTAGTTCTTAATTTCAATATGTTACCTATCTGGTCATTTCTATCGATTTCTAACAAAAAAAAGGAACTTTAAATTCTAGTGGTAATACAATAATAAGGTGCAAATATGAGTCAACAGATATAATTAAAAACTAATATATTATTTAAACTGCGGTGATTTTGTTTTTAAGAAAATCCCACAGTTTAAATAATATATCAATTTTTAACTAATATATTAATTCATATTTATATCAATGATCTTACTATCATGACATATCATTCAAATTTAATGTTTTTTATTAGAAATGGACGAAAATGACCAAATAAAATAACAAAAGTAAAATTAAAGAACTAACCTATAATATTTTTAAGTTAAAGAATTAAAATAGATTATTAAAATGGGCTAGATCATCTAAGCTGACTTTCCCGGCCCAGAAAATCATAGGGCTTAGGCCTTAAAATTAAAGTTCATATTTTTCAGAGCTTTTTTAGTTCAACCTTGATAAATCTGCTATCTATTAGGACTAGTCCATATGAATCGTGGATAGTCCATTAGACTCATATCGCTATAAGTTTTAAAAAATTATATTAATACTTACATTGTCTTACTCCAAAATAACATATTGATTTTTCTCACCTCACTAAAATTTATGTATATTCAATATTTCTCTTTTAAATATTACACATTAATATAATCAATAATTTTTTTCCGTATTCTATTAGTTTCTCTTATATTAAAAATATTAGAGTATTATTTTATACAATTTTAAAATATATTATATTTAAAAACACATTATAATATTTATAAAAGATAATATAATATTTAAAAATATATTATATTTAAAATAATATAATTTTAAATTTTATTTATAATAAATATTATCTCATTTTTATTTTAATTTTTTAATTAAAATAATTTATTTAGAATTAGATAGTTCGAAGTCCATCTAAAATTAAATTTAAATAATAATTTATGAACCCATATTTAAAATGAAGTTTTTAGACCCAATTCTAAAAAATCCGAACTCATCCCATTTAGAGCCTAATAGCGCATTTTAACAACTCAACCATTCATCATTTTCTACAATTTGTTTTGTTTATCATCTTTCTTTCTCACTCTTTCAAATTTTGTTTTCTCCTACGTATCTAGCTGCTATTTTTCTATGGTCCATACAATAAAAAGCTATTTACTTTTGTTTATTTGATATTGACATAAATAACCTTACAATCCTTTGAATAGTAATAAAAAATAATGTAGCACACGTTGATTTAGTGAATCACATACATACTTATTACTTTTTACTGAAAAAAATTGACGTTGTTTTTTTATTAAAGTAATTAGCCTTCTTTTTTTCTACAAATTGCAAAAGCTGCCTCCTGTTAGATGACAATATAATTATATTTTAAAATAAAAGATAACTATTAATAAATGTTTTAATAGTCATTATCTACTTTAAAAATTATTAATGCACAATTGTATTTTAGAATTTAAAGTTTTGTTAAAAAAATTTTAATTAAATTTGGAAAATGGTTAACTTTATTTAATTAAAATTGAAATATAAAAACTTCATTTAAAATTGAATTAAAATTAATTATTAAAACTTTAAATAAAAATCAAATAAATAGTTAGGGTTATTTTTGTCATTGTGTAAAAATAAATCTCTTCTTTTCTACTTTCTATTCAATCAAATATCTTTCTCTCCTTCACTTTTTCTTATATCAAACATACTATATAATCTTTTCACTTTTCACTCTCTTTCTTTTCTTATATTTTCTTTCCTTTCAATTTCTTTTATAATCCAAACAAAATGTAAGAGATGAAATTGAGGATACGTGTTATTCTCTCCGTTTTAAAACCGCACTTGTTTAAAAAAATTTCACATAAATTAAAAAATGCAATAATATTATTATAAGATATTATATAAAAAAATTAATCTTATTAATATACACTATGCCAAAAATGGCATTTAGCAGCGCTTTTTTTGACCTTTAGCAGCGCTTTAAAGCGCTGCCTAAAGTGGCGCTGCTAAAGGTAAAGGCAGCGCTTTTTTGTGTGGAAAAAGCGCTGCTAAAGGCATCACTTTTAGCAGCGCTTTTTTACCCCTTTAGCAGCGCTTTACAAAGCGCTGCCTATTCTCCCTCCCCCTCCCCCCTTTAGCAGCGCTTTATGAAAGCGCTTTTGTAGACCACCCTTTAGCAGCGCTTTTTTAAAGCGCTTTCTTAGACCCCTCCTTTCCTAACTTATAGCAGCGCTTTTTTATGCCTATTTTTCCCCCTTTAGCAGCGCTTTCTTGTAAAAGCGCTGTCTATACTTCACGTTTTTAAATTTTTTTTTTTTTGAAAAATCACATTTTTTATATATTTTTAGACAAACCTGCTTATAACAATTAAATTCCCTGCTTATAATTCAGGCCTTAAATATAACTTGGCCTTTAAACATTGTAATTCAACACTTGCCCTTTAATTCAACACAATATAACTAAACATTGTACATTATACAATAACACTTTGCAATTTACACATAATTAACTCAAGTATAATTTACACATAATTTAAACATTGTACATTATACAATATACAATATACAATTTACACATAATTACAAATCCAATATACATTATAGAATTCTTAACTCAATCATAAATTGACACCATTCTTCCTTAATTTCTTCCAATTTTACTTTCGAGTACGTAGCGCATTTGAATTCATCAAAATACTACATAATATAACAGAACAAGCACGATTTAATACTAATTACTCAGATGAAATATTAGTTAATTATCAAAATGAATCATATAACTCATGAATTGATCCATACCATGATTGGAATCTCTAATTGACCAGAAAGAATGATTTCCTTCATAAAGCGCAGTACAAAATATCCGCAGTCAATCCCACCACACTGACGAGGACACTGTATTAGGAAAAAAGCGAACGAACATTTATCAGGATATATAGTTTAAATAGTTTTATAAGTAGAACCACTATAACAGTCAAACATGGGAAAATATACCTCCACTCTGATCCAGTTGATGTTGCTAGCCCTGCTTTTTGGCACTGTTGCATCTCTCTGTGCTCTGTATATTTGTATAACTCTAACATAATATAAACACATATTTAGAACAATGTCACATAATAAATAAACATATATAATTATTCAGAACACTATATATCATCACTTACGTATCAACCATGTTCTTCAGATTTTCATATTTGTTTGTATCGCCATCCAATGAATCTATATAATACACTATTTCTTTAATCGGATTAATTGCGACCAACAACCAGTGACCACTATAAAATAAGACAACAGTTTAGACGGAAATGTTATATAATATGGCAAAAATCGAACAATTATAATAAATGAATTTAGAATAAAAACTAACCCATGGCCAGTATTATATGGCAACATAAACAACTTCTCTGTATTCGCACCCATAAATCTCTGGACTGTGTACTCTTTGACTGCTTCTGGTGTCTGGTCTATTGTCCGTGAGTTGACACTGCTAGCAGATAAGAATGCGAATACTGAAGTCAAATCAGCGGGGACCAACAACTTGTCATACAAGAGCCTAAAAAAAATATAATCAACATTAGATTATTCAGTTAAACGAGCGAATTTTAAAATGTTCAATTATCTAATTAAAATGGATCGAAGTACCTGATGTAGGAATGCATAACCCCGACGCCCAATTCTAAATGTTTGAAAACCTGGTCGAAATCCTCCTTAGCAAGTGTTTCGGAATATTCAAAACCGAAAATACCTTGATCCATATGTATTAGACGGATGCCGCCCTCAGGCACGTCTGTTGTCCCTACATATGTTTGAAGGCACATCCTAAATTGAGGAACAAATGCTCTTTTTGTCTCGACCTTTTTTTTGGGCACCTTGGAAGTTTTAGGCATGTTTCCCTTGTTGACTTGTTGCGACTGCTGATCAAGAACCTAAAAGTCATATATAAGTTCAGTAAATAATTTATAATAAAATAATCACT